TAACGTCTCAGCATTTTTTTCTTTTTTTCAGTAAGAATAGCCTTCCCTGTCTCAAACCGTATCGGGCATTTTAGACATGTCCTTTTTCGTGATTAATAATAAATTGTTTTTATTTCAAATCTAGGGCTGTGTTTTTTTTCTTTGCTCACACTAATGCTAATCAGGTCTGATTAACGTGATCTTTTCTCTCTCTCTTTCTCATTTTACTGATATGATTTGAATGTTAACTCGGGCCAACCATTGTTTTCTCGCTTAGCGCTGTTTCCCTAACAGGAGCAACTGCTGTAAACAAAGCTTTTTAAAAGCTAATCCTGCAAACCGGCGACAACCCCACTCTCTCTCCGTCAACTTTAAGAGTATGGTTTTCGCCATTGTTTAAAAATGCCTTTTTTCATTTATCTTACCATTTCTGCTTTTTGTTTTTACCGTTTTTTACATTCTATTCTTTAATTTCACACACACGCACGCACGCACACACACACACAAAAAAAAAACACGTACACACAAACAAATAAATTGCATACGAAATTGTGCCAAAAATCTTTCGGCTCGAACCATATCACAAAATCTAACCAAAGGACAAAAGAGTTTTTTTTTTTTTTTTTACCGATAATCGTTGAGCCGAGGACTTTTCAGGAACCTCTCGTTTGCATTCACACATATGAGTTGCAACTATAGATTAAAGATTAAATCCGACAGAATGATTTTACATGTTTCGCTATTCATTAACTTCAGTCAGGAATTTAGACGGAGCGGTTTCGATTTTTTTAATTTTTTTATGTTCTGTTTCCCTTATTTTCTCAGATGTCACGTGCTTTTATTACATGTCAAACGCATATATAAAGAAATGAAGACGTTTACAAGACTAGATTTAAATTATCTTAAAAATTAATTTTGCTTTCAATTTCACGATATATTAAATATAGCTATGTTTTGTCCAATATATACAATATATACATAATGCAATATATGCATAATGAAATATATACATAATGTAATTTCTCCACATCGTCATTGGTCATGACATCACAAGAAACTAAAATACAATTATGAACATAAGACAAATATTGGTGGAAAATATTTAAAATATTTTATAACACTCACTGCAAGGAAAGGCTCATATATTAGTGTTTTGTGATGAGAGAGGAGATTTTGATTATTTTAGCTGTTGGTAGAGAGAGAGAGAGAGAGAGAGAGAATTATTTTTTATTGTGTTAGATGCTTTTTAGGAGGTTTAGGCATTTTTCAACTGGGACGTTGGTGTAGAGTGGAATTTTATATCTAGACTGACCATGCGTTTATCAGTCATGTTCATTTCTCGTACTTTTTTCAATATGACTGACTGAGTTCTTTATATGAGATGAACTGATTTTTTTTTCATGCTTCTACGGCAGTTTTCATGTAGTTTGCGGCCATTTTCTACTGACCGGAGTGAGAGCATATAGCTGGCTGCCACGAATAGGCAGGAAGATTCTATTGGCCAGCGTGAGAGCCAACAGCTGACTGACACGAATGTTAACTAGCATGCTAGCATGCAAAAAAAATCGATAGCTGCATTCGTCACAAGTGGGAAAAATTTAAATCTGCATGGCACTTTACTCCATTTGGCTCATTCGCTTGCTTAAACTCAACGTTGATTCTGATTCCGCAGAACTGGGCTGGGTGTGAAAAAGTATTTGTTGTTAACATTCTTTTTTCATTCGGTTTTTCCAGTTACGAGTCTTTTTTTAAAACTGATCGTTTTGTGTTCATTTTGTTTAGTTCTTTTTTCGTAACAGATTTAATGTTTAGTATAGAGCTTAGAAAAAATTCGCAGTGTGAGATAGGCAAGAAGTAAGGCATGAAGCAACATCAGCACGGCAAAGGGCACTCCTTTAAAGGCAAGGAAGGGCAAAAATATTTTAAGTCAAGGATAGAGATTGCTGTATGAGTCGTACGATTTTTGAATCAAGCACGGGCAACACCGGGACATCCTGCTAGTATATATATATATATATATATATATATATATATATATATATATATATATATATAGAGAGAGAGAGAGAGAGAGAGAGAGATAGATAGATAGATAGATAGATAGATAGATAGATAGATAGATATGGGAACATTTTTCCTTGGACAATAAAAAATATTAAAAAATTAAAATCTTCAGACACACTGGGTTGTCTATTAATACACTTTCGTTTTTATTATTTCAGTTACATTCCTCGACTAGTTTCGGCCAACATGGCCATTATCAGGAGAAAAAAATTTCCTGCTTGCTGGTAGCAGTGAACTACAGAAATGAATGCCTTGATGGCGAAAATGAACTTTTGTCTGTAGTTTTTATTTGTTTTTTTGTTTTTTAAATTCTTTTAACATAAATTTTTGTCAGTCTTTGTGTTGGTCAAACAGTCTCTTTTAAGTTGTTATTTAAGATAAGAGCTGAATGGATTCATGCTGCTCTGAACTCCCTTGGTCATTTTGACAGTTATATATATATATATATATATATATATATATACACGTATATAAACGGAAGTTAAAACAGTGTGGCATTCACATTGTAACTTTCTTTATGAATACCCTTTAATAAATATCTATGTGTGTGTGTGTGTGCATGTGTAGGCTTTTATGTGCGTGTGTTTCGGTGTGAGTCTCAAGTTATATTTCTAATGCCAAAGTTCTTTGGCTTATCTGAAGCATTAACTTTGAAGATTATTCTCATAACCTACACTCTGATCGTTGCCTACTCGATTTATTGTCACGAGAAAAAGGCTTAGCCCTTCAAAAAGACACAGTACATTTCCAGTAGCAACGAACATAATATTTAAGCGAACTGCGTAAGGACTTCTGCGATTATTAAGTAGGAGAATAACATAAAATATTGCAACGAACACTTGACGTAAATCGCACAAGATTCCTGTCCATATTATATATATATATATATATATATATATATATATATATATATATATATATATATAAAAAAGAAGAACAGTAAGATATATAATTTTACTTTTACAAAACAGTGCTCAATGTAAATTTACAGAACAGAAATATTATAAATTAACTGATTTAAAATATGGTTTCTTTGCTACACAGGAATTACCATGTTTCAAAAACCAAAGCCAAAAATTTCATTATATAATTAAATTAAAAGTATTAGTTCTGTTTCGTCTTCCAGCGAATTTTGGAATAACTTATTTTTAAATTTACTGAGTTTTAAATGCACACATACAATTCATTATTTCCAATCATTTCGACAGTGGCAGTAGCTTGTTCATTTTTATTAACTATTATTGCATCAATCATGAGTTACGTTATATATATATATATATATATATATATATATATATATCTGTTCTGTATTTCTGAAATGAGGTATTGTGTGTGTACACAATACCTCATATCAATATTTATGTTATTCAGACTATTGTCCTCATCTTTGACGCCATATTTATTACAATGTCTCGGCCGTTGTACGCTCCAGCCTTCTTCAGGTCGTTGGAATGTCGAACTTAACCCTTTATTTCACTCACTGGGGTAGACTGTTCTAGTTCCACGTGCCATGTTTAATGGATGTCAGTTATCAATTATCTCCTGTTAATTCCCCTCTGTAAGTTCTCCATTGCCTTGACCAGGTATTGAACTCACACTCTTTGTGTCCTGTCACTGGATCTAACCAACGCATTTATCCACTGTGCCATGAGTCCTATATAGTTATACGCGTCTGAAGTTATGCAAATCACATAAACCTCACTAACACGAATTTTTTTCAAATTTTAAGCAATTTATTTAAATATCAGAACAATGATTAAGTAAAATTTTTAGTTATTTTCAACGTTTTATTAAAGTTATTAAACACATATATGATAACTTTTAGAAGGATTTACATCTTAATATTGTGGTCATTCTTTTCAGTAAATGCCAGCAATCTATTATCTATTGATTTTTTTCATTTTTACTTACTTCAGCAGGTTCAATTACCGACAAGGTAGTTTTTATTGCTTCTCATTGGCCAGCGATTCGTGGGTAACTTTAGATATATGAAAAAGAGCATTAATTTATCTGTAGATATATGAAAAGGAGCATTGTCGTACATAAATGTGGAACTTTACTTTGGAACTGCTCGCCTGAGACTTGTAACATTCAAAGACATTCTTGTCCATGAAATAGTTCGAGCTGTTCAATTTTAGTCCTTCAAGGACTTTGAATAGTTCAATAATATATTAGTCAACAATCCCAGCCCATATCATCTCACTGCCGCCTCCTTGCTGCTTTCTTTCAGCCACAGGCACATCTGCCTCTGATAAAATCCATCCTTTGGCCCATCCATCAAGTCTGTCGAGTGTCACCTGATATTCGTCCGTGGAAATTACTTTTGAAAAGTCAATTTTCATGTATTTTTTTTATTTAATTTTGACGCTTTAAAATATTTGCTTTATTAATAAGTTTTCCTGGAAGGTTTCTTGACAGATGCCAATTTGAGAAGGATTCTACATCTTTGGTCTCACTTGTTCCAAAATCTAAGCAATGGTCAAAAGTGGTGGTTTCGCTGTAACTCGCTTTAGTTTACTGTTTTCTTGAGAGGACAAATTCTTAAAGCCTTTTCGTTTGCTTGTAGTTCTCAACTTTTTTCAACAACCTTCTTTAACGTTCGAGGATCTCCTTTGATATCTTCAAAATGGATATTCCCTCAGTTATTAACTTTGTTATTTTCAGTTTTTCTGTATTTGTTAGATCCTTTCCATTACCCAAGTTTCAGCATTTATCATGAAAAAAAAAGAAAGAAAAGAAAATGTTTTTATTAGATTTCGGAGGTATTAAACTAAGATTAGTTTAATCTGCATCACAACTTTAGTCTGCAGTTTCTATGATAAATACAATAACTTTAAGAAATCGTGTTGAAACTAAATTTACCATGAGGTTTGTCTTGATGTCTAAATTAATCGTTTAAAATTTGACAAAATTTGCAAATTTGAGTCAATGAGGTTCATGTAATTTAACTTCGGAAGAATTTTTCCATATCTATCTATCTATCTATCTATCTATCTATCTATCTAATCATGTTCATATATATCTAATTCTACTCATACTCTTATATATAAATATTCAGCTGCAGGTATTCATAATATATATGTATGTATATATTTGTTCATACACACAAACACACACACACAAATATATATATATATATATATATATATATATATATATATTAAAGAAGTGAAGAGAGAGGTGCCACAAACGTTTTTTGGTTGTAATGTGCTTTTTTTTTTTTTTAATATTATGCTTTATTTTCCATAATTATGGAAAATAAAGCATAATATTTTTTAAAAAAAATCCACATTACAACCAAAAACGTTTGCGGCATCTCTCTCAATTAATATCTGCCTCACTTTTTAAATCTCTTTGTATCTCATTTTCGCACTATCTATCTTTTAATATCTACCTCATAATCTGTCTCTGTCAATATCTGTCTCAATTTTTAAAATCTCTCTCTATCTATCCATGTCAGTTTATCAATATCTATCTATCTATCTATCTATCTATCTATCTATCTATCTATCTATCTATCTATCTATCTGCCTCAGTTTTTTTTAATATATTTCTAACTCTTTATTGATTCAAGCACCAGAAACATTATCCTAGTTTTGCCTTTAAGGACCGTGATATAAAAGTCAAAGATGAAGAACAATTGAACTTTCCCCTCCCTTCCACTGTACTGAACTTGACATCAGTCAGACTATCCGAGTTATGACGTCAAATTCCATTGCCCCCCTCCCTTCTCTCTTTGCTTAATATTTCATCCAAACTACAAAACATTTCTTTTCCGTTTTTAGACTTTTTATCATCATCATTATCACTTCTTCGTTTTTTGTTCATATTTCAATTTTTATGTTAATTTTAGTTACGATTTTTTTTATCTCTCGCTTCCATTTTGTCTATCATCATGATAAGCTTTTGTTATTGTTTTCACAAGCATAATTTTCTTTTCTATTGATGTCCACTTTCTCCATCCAGCACCAGAGTCCGATTTGAGTTCTTGAAACAACGGCTGACGTCAGATGATAATTCCCCTTCAGTGGAGGTCAAGTTGTCCAACGGCAAAAATAACCCCCACTGAATTATATCGTTCGCCATTCCTTTCGCTCTTCAGTCTTGGAGACGGTTATCAGAACAGGCAACACTTCATCGTGGCCAGCATCTTTGAAATGGGCTTCTTATGCCGTCGACCAAAACAAAAGTAGTTCCTTAACATGCGTGTCACGTGGACAGAAATATATTAATAGAAAGATAATTGTTTACATTTCTGGCTTAATAGATATTCACGTTTTTACTTACGTACATATACACGTGCGCTGATACTTCATTTTTCCCCTAGCTTATTTATTTATATATATGTCCGCATGTGCTGATAGGCTTCTTTAAAAAAATGTTTTTTCATACAGATACGTATGTTTTCAAACTATTTTCATTTTGGTTTGGTTTGGTTTGGTATTTTGTTTTACGGCATATCAACCTCATTGTCCGCATGTGCTGATATATTTCCTTAAAAACATTTTTTTTCATACAGATACGCATGTTTTCAAACTATTTTCAATTTGGTTTGGTTTGGTATCTTGTTTTAGGGCATATCAACCTCAATGTGTTCTTTAAGGCCGACAAGATTTTTTAGGATAGATACGTATGAATAGAACATGTATTCTTTGTAAGAAATCAGTTTGTAGATCAAGTTTCATTGACGTATTTTTGTAAAAAGGATTTTTGCCGAGAGTCAAATGTATTGCTGTTATTCTTTTTTTTTCCAAAAACGTATTGGTGGTATTTTTACTATAAAAATCTACTTTTATACATTCATAGTGTTATAACCTCGTTTTGGGAGGTTAACTATTTGTCCATAGTTTGAAACCTAACAAGTGCTACCAGCCCTGGTCGGTGTTGGCCTGGGAACAGCAGCAATTAAGAGGGGGTTTCATGCTCCTCAAAACCTCCCAAACAGAAGCCTTGCTGCCGGATGTAGTTTATTGTCATACCCAGGACGATCTGTTATCGGACAATTGAATTGAGTTTTTCATGTTGCTAGAACATGTTCAACCGATCTTTTCTTCAGCCTTCTTCGGTTTTATAATCCCGAACAGAAATTTATTATCTTATTTCCTCTAAACAATATGGTAACAGAAATGGTCGTTGGTTCATGTAATTCAATTGGTTTCGCTTGTTTAACGGCATATCAACTTCTTATGGGTCATCTAATGCGATGATTTAATTTTGGGGGAAGCTTTGGTAATTTCTTTTTTCAAAAATGGTAATTTTTCTTTTCCTTTTCCAATAATATATTGCTGGTAATTTTTTACTATGAAAATGTATTGCTAGAATTATTACTACAAAAATATATTTTTATAGTGTTTTGACCCCAGTTTAGGGGTTCACGTTTTGCAACCCTAACAGAAATCACGTTTCTCAAAATCTCAATCCTTGCTGCCCGATGTAGTTTATTGTCGTACCCAGGACGAGTAATTTAGTTGTATTTAATTATAGGCTTACAGCCATATCATGTTGAAGCACCGTTTCTTGTGCGATCGCGGAAGGTAAGCAACGTCGAGCATAGTCAATACGTAAATGAGTGACCACTTAGGAATACGAGGTGCTGTGAGCGTGGATGTTCAGGTGGTGTAATGGATAACTGCTCGGAATTGTTAACGTTAGAGCCGAGTTCTAATTCCAGTTGAGTGTGTTATATTCACTTACGCAGAAATATATATATATATATATATATATATATATATATATATATATATATATATCTATTAATAATTCTCTAATTATCCATCTATTATATTAATAATCTATCTGATTATCCATATATATATATGTATGTATGTGTCTATACGTGTATGGAATATTTTTAAATGGAAGTACTTGGGTCATTCTCTTGGTATTTTAAAATTGCTTTTTCTCTTTTAATGTTCTATAATTAAATTTTGAGAGTGTATTTTTATCTTCTTAAGGGAGTTTCATCTTAAAATTGATAATTTTAAATATCCCACTCTTTAACTATTAATAGTAATAATAATATTAACGAAATCCCTTTAATAATGAAGCACTTCAGAAGTCACCTAAAATTAAACTTTAACTATAAAATCAAACTAAAATCTAAATAAATTTCAAACGTTAAAATATAGCTAATGATTGAGAAATGTATGTGTGTATATGTAATTTATGTATGAAGATGGATGAACATTTTTGTATATTGTTGCACGTGTGTCTATGTGTGTATTTGCACATGTAAATGGACGTATGTATATGTGGATTTGCATGAACATGTTTTTGTAAGATACATATAAGAAGAAAACAAAATCTTTAATATTACCCTCAAATATTATTAAATAATGAAACCTAAACCTTAATTAAGTTTACCCATATAATAATAAAGAAAAATTGCATTCATAAATTAGATTTAAAAGTAAAACTAATATAGATGTTATTGTTACCAAAATTTTTTTACAATATTATGAAAGTACAATTGGTCGGGTAAGTAAACTATTATAATTTTAAATATTTCTTTAATATGTCCTCGATAAAGGTGCTAATAAAAAAAGTAGTTAACTTATATTAAATCCCTAATGTGCTAATAAAAATAGTAGTTAACTTATATTAAGTTCCTAAACTATTTTACTTAAAAAACTAAATGTTTAAATTGATAACATTCATCATTTTTTAGGCATCTAAATTTCTATCAAGCATTGAAATCTATCTTTTACATAATTTTGTTAAAACAAAATTACAGCCTCTTTCGATTCACTTCCCTCTCCCCCTCTCTCTTTGCCGTAACACTCATTTAGATATATCTGTATTACTGTTGTCTATCTCCTTTCCATTTTTCCTTTTCTTTTTCCCCCACTACCCTCCCATTCCTATATATCATTTCCGTTAAGTTAACCAACTAAATAGGTCACGATTAGGTCACTCCTCCTACCCCAATATAAAACATGCTTAAGAGAAATATGAAATTTACCTCTCTCTATAATCTACCTTGTCTCGTTAACTACAACTATCACTCTCCCTGTTAAATTACAAAAATTACACTACCCATCAATTTCTAATCCCATTTTTCCTTTCATTTCGTTGTTGGAAGTGTTACCTGATGATCCGGAGTCCTTTAAAAAGGATTTTGGTGAAATAAATTATTGTAATGGTACCTTAAAAGTGGTCTGTTTTTTTCATTATATATATATATATATATATATATATATATATATATATATATATATATATATATATATATATATATTACAAATCGTTCATACAAAAAGTAGATTAATAAAGTTAATGATATAAAATGGCGAAATCCCTTCGCAAACAAAATTTTAAAGGTGCACTAACCTACAAATCACTCGATGACTGTTACGATCCTTGTTTTTAAGAATTATATAAGGCCTTTCTTTAATACGCAAGTGCTTTCAACTGTACATTCAGTCATCTTCAGACATGGAAATTATTTTGTTTTTGGTAAAATTCAGGTAGCATCCGAGACGAAAAAATTAAATGCGAATCGAACTATATATATATATATTTTTAAATGTGTTATTGTTAACGGATACAAACTTTTGGAGCGTGCAGTCGCAACCCTAAGGTTGAATTTTTTTTTTAAATTTAAGTGAGTGCGTGTTTTACTAATATGGCAATTTGAGAATTTTTTTTTGTAGGAGTTTATCAGTCAGTGTGGCATGAACTAAATTGTTCAATAAATAGAGTAATGTCTCAGTTGTTATTCCGAAAATTTGCACGTCGGATCAGTTCTTTTAAATCAAATATGTGGTGCAGTTCAATTTATATTACAATAAATCATTCATACAAAAAGTAGATAAGTTAATGATATAAAATGGATATATATAAATACTGCATTACATATTTGATACGTACAACATGGGGGGGTGCTGCGAATTTTAGAATTTTTCTTTTTTCTGCAGCTAAAATTCATTTAAACTTTTTTCTTTTTCTTTCCATCATTTTTATAAGTAGGTCTTCCACATTATGATATTAGAAAAATCTGCCGGAATGGTGAAATGTTGTAAGGTGAGCGCAAATTTACTGTAGGTGACCTTGTGATTAAGGCACTTGCAAAAATTTGGGTTACCAATGGGATCGCCTCTCAGTGGAGTAATAGCGTGTATCTTCTTAGAATTTCTCCACACACACACACACACATACACACACACACACACACACACACACACACACATATATATATATATATATATATCAGTTAGTTATGTGCCATGCGTGATACACGCTTAGGCGATCATGTATCTTTCGATACATGACTGACGAGGCAGATTTATCCCCATAGTAGGTTGCCATTTCTTTCTGCAGTAGACCAGTTGCCATTCAAGGCTACAGAACCCAGTCTGTCCTGATATTTATCCATTGCTGGTTGGTTGAAGAAGTGGATCCATACCTTTCCCAAGGGTATTAGCACATAAGTTAATGTAAAATATATATTAAATAATTATTCACCCAGCCATGGCGGCGAAGTTGTGGAGAACCATGATCGCACGCTCCCCTTTAGAGTACGGCACATAGAAGAAGAAGAAGAAGAAGAAGAAGAAGA